GGAATTGCTTTCTTAATTTCGTTTTTGGATTGTTCATTGCAGGTGTGTGGAAACACAACTGATTTTTGTGTGATCTTGTACCCTGTAACTTTGCTGAATCTGCAGCTCTAGAAGCTTTCTTGTGAGTCTCTGGCATTTCCTATATATAGGATCATGTCATCTGTGAATAGAGATATTTTTACTTCTTCCTTTCCAATTTGGATGCCTTTTATATATTTTTTCTTGTTTAATTGTTCTAGCCAGAACTTCCAGTACAATGTTGAATAGCAGTGGTAAAAGTGGATGTCCTTGTCTTGTTCCTGATCTTAGGCAGAAAGCTTTCAGCCTTTCACCATTAGGTATGATGTTAGCTGTGCGTTTCTCAGAAGTACCTTTTCTCATGTTGAGAAAGTTTATTTCTATTCCTAGTTTATGATTTTTAAAAATTATGATGCCTGGGCATGGTGGCTTATGCCTGTAATCCCAATACTTTAGGAAGCCCAAGTGGGAGGATCACTTGAGGCCAGGGGTTCAAGACCGACCTGGACAACATAGTGAGACCCTATCTCAATAAAAAAAAAATTTTGCCAGGCATGGTGGTGCATGCCTGTAGTCCCACCTACTCAAGAGGCTGAGGCAGGAGGATGGCTTGAGCCCAGGAGGGCAAGGCTGTGGCTGCAGTAAGCCATGATTTCACCACTGCCATGATCATGCCAGCAACAGAGTGAAACCTTGTCTCAAAAAAAAAAAAAAAAAAAAAAAGCCGGGCTTGGTAGCTCATGCCTGTCATCCCAGCACTTTGGGAGGCCAAGGTGGGCAGATCATGAGGTCAGGAGATCAAGACCATCCTAGCTAACATAGTTGTAGGGGCCCGCCCTACAGGGTCTGTGGGTTTTTCTCCCTGTGCGTGGAGATGAGAGATCGTAGAAGTAAAGACACAAGACAAAGAGATAAAAGAAAAGACAGCTGGGCCCAGGGGACCACTACCACCAAGACAGGGAGACCAGTAGTGGCCCTGAACACCTGGCTGCGTTGTTATTTTTTGGATACAAAGCAAAAGGGGCAGGGTAAAGAGCGTGAGTCATCTCCAGTGATTGATAAGGTCACGTGAGTCACGTGTCCACCAGACAGGGGGCCCTTCCCTGTTAGGTAGCCGAGGCGGAGAGAGAGAGGACAGCTTACGTCATTATTTCTTCTATGCTCTTTTCAGAAAGATCAAAGACTTCAATACTTTCACTCATTTTCCTACTGCTATCTAGAGGGCAGAGCCAGGTGTACAGGATGGAACATGAAAGTGAAACAGGAGTGTGACCACTGAAGCACAGCATCACAGGGAGATGGTTAGGCCTCTGGATAACTGTGGGCAGGCCTGACTGATGTCAGGCCCTCCATGAGAGGTGGTGGAGCAGAGTCTTCTCTAAACTCACCTGGGGAAAGAGAGACTCCCTTTTCCCGTCTGCTAAGTAGCTGGTGCTTTTCCTTGGCACTGACGCTACCGCTACACCACAGTCCGCTTGGTAACGGGCGTCTTCCCAAACGCTGGTGTTACCGCTAGACCAAGGAGCCCTCTAGTGGCCCTGTCTGGGCGTGACAAACGGCTCACACTTGTCTTCTGGTCACTTCTCACTATGTCGCTTCAGCGCCTATCTCCATATGGCCTGGTTTTTCCTAGGTTATAATTGTAGAGCAAGGATTATTATAATATTGGAATAAAGAGTAATTGCTACAAACTAATGATTAATGATATTCATATATAATCATATCTACGATCTATATCTAGTGTAACTCTTGTTATTTTATATATTTTATTACACTGGAACAGCTCATGCCCTTGGTCTCTTGCCTCGGCACCTGGGTGGCTTGCCGCCCACACACGGTGAAACCCCGTCTCTACTAAAAATACAAAAAATTAGCCGGGCGTGGTGGTGGGTGCCTGTAGTCCCAGCTACTCGGGAGGCTAAGGCAAGAGAATGGCATGAACCCAGGAGGGGGAGCTTGCAGTGAGCCAAGATTTTGCCACTGCACTCCAGCCTGGGTGACAGAGCGAGACTCTGTCTCAAAAAAAAAAAAAAAAAAAAAATCATGAAGTGTTGTTGAATTTTGTCAAATGCCTTTTCTGTGTTGGTTGAGATCATGTGGTTTCCCCCACACCTTGTTCTATTAATGCAAATACCATTAATCAGTGGTATTTGCACTGATTTTTGTATGTTTAACTACCCTTACTTTCCTAGGATAAATCCCATTTGGTTATGGTGTAAAATCCACTTAATATGCTGCTGAATTAGATTTGCCAGTATTTTTTCAGGATGTTTATATGTATATTCATAAGGGCTACTGGTCTGTAATTTTCTTGTGATATCTTTATCTGGCTTTGGTATTACGGTAATGCTGGCCTCATGGAATAAGTTAGGAAATGTTCTCTCCTTTTCAATCTTTTGGATGAATTTGAGGAACATCCTTGTTATTATGATTCTTTTTTAAATGTTTGATAGAATTCACCAGCCCAACCATCTGGTTTTGGGCTTTTCTTTATTGAAAGGTTTTTGATTAAATCTCTTATGATAAGTCTATTGAGATTTTCTATTTTTTCTTGAGTCAGCTTAGGTAATTTGTGTGTTCCTAGGAATTTGTCCATTTCACTTATCTAGTTTGTTGACATGTAATTGTTGATAGTATTCTCTTACAATCCTTTTTATTTCGGTAAGGTTGGTAGTAATGTCTCCATTTTCATTTCTGATGTCAGTTATTTGTGTCCTAGCTAATTTTTGAGCCCAACTTTAACATGACTTCAACCTCTACCTTAAGCCTTGATACCACGTCCAACTTGACCTCTGACATCTGACCCTTGGCCCTTCTAACCTGACCTTTTTTTTTTTTTTTTTTTGAGACGGAGTCTCACTCTGTCTCCCAGGCTGGAGTGCAGTGGCACGATCTCAGCTTACTGCAACCTCCACCTCCTGGGTTCAAGCGATTCTCCTGCCTCAGCCTCAGCCTCAGCCTGCCCAGTAGCTGGGATTACAGGTACCCGCCACCATGCCTGGCTAATTTTTGTATTTTTAGTAGAGATGGGGCTTCACCATGTTAGCCAGGCTGGTCTCGAACTCCTGACCTCAGGTGATCTGCCCACCTCGGTCTCCCAAAGTGCCGGGACTACAGGCGTGAGCAAATGGGCCCGGCCCTAACCTGACTTGTAATCGCATCCTGTAACCTCTTACTTTAGTGATCTTGACTTCTGTCTGCTGCCCTAGACTTTGAAAAATTATTGCCTGGCATCTAACCTTTGTCTTTGACCTTGGCTGGGCCCTGACCTCAAGTGACCTTTGACCTCTGGCCTCTGCAGCTACACGTTCGGCAAAGTACAGGGCAACAGCGATCTCTACTGGAAGGCGCAGCGCTACCGCCTCATCCGGGAATTCCACTCTCGGCCCACGCTGGCCCCGCCCTTTATCGTCATCTCCCACTTGCGCCTCCTGCTCAGGCAATTGTGCAGGCGCCCCCGGAGCCCCCAGCCGTCCTCCCCGACCCTCGAGCATTTCCGTGAGAACAGAGCTTGGCTTAAAAAGAAGAATAGGGGACCGGCAGCCTGGAAGGCGAGGGGAAGGGGCATGCCCCAAATAACTAATGGGCGTGGCTTAGGCAGCGAGGGGCGGGGTTTAAACAACAAGGGGCGCGGCTTAAGCACTGAGGGGCAGGGCTTAGGGGTGAGGGGCGGGGCATGTTCTCGAATCACCAGGGGCCGGGTCTGAGATAGCGTGTTCTGAGGGTGTCGGAAGGGGCTGCTGGGCTTGGGAAGGGACGTGGCCTTAGCCCTTTGACTCCGCCCGCCCCTGCAGTGGTCTGCCTTTCTAAGGAAGCCGAGCGGAAGCTGCTAACGTGGGAATCGGTGCATAAGGAGAACTTCCTGCTGGCACGCGCTAGGGACAAGCGGGAGAGCGACTCCGAGCGTCTGAAGCGCACGTCCCAGAAGTGAGAGCGGGGCCTGGTCGGGGATGGGGCTTCTGGCCTGGGGCGGATCCTGACTTCGGTTGAAGTCAGGGTCCTGGGAGGGAGGGAGGAGGCCCAGGAAGCAGGCGAGCCCCCGGGGGGTGGGTGGGCTACGGGTGCCCCCGGTAAGAGGCCCTCCCTTCTTAGGGTGGACATGGCACTGAAACAGCTGGGACACATCCGCGAGTACGAACAGCGCCTGAAAGTGCTGGAGCGGGAGGTGAGGGCTTGGGGTTTGGCTGGGGAACTGCGGCAGGGGTCGGGCAGGGGTTTCCATCTCCTGCTCTGACATTCCTCCCTTTCCCCAGATCCAGCACTGTAGCCGCGTCCTCGGGTGGGTGGCCGAGGCCCTGAGCCGCTCTGCCTTGCTGCCCCCAGGTGGGCCGCCACCCCCTGACCTGCCTGGGCCCAAAGGTTAGTGTGTATCATCAGCCTGTGCATCTCCAGCCTCTGTTCCTGTATGTTTGCGTGTTTTTCTCTCTTGGCGCCTTTCCAGTGTCCCTGGGTCACTCTCTTGGTCTCCTTTGAGCATTTTGTACTCTGGTCTTCGTGTTCCTTCTTTTATGCCAGTCTCCCAGTTTTTCTGTCTCTCCCCTTCCCTGCCAATCCCCAGCTCTCTCTTTTCTCTCTTCCCCCAGACTGAGCCCTGCTGGCAGACTTCAAGGAGAAGCCCCCACAGGGGATTTTGCTCCTAGAGTAAGGCTCATCTGGGCCTCGGCCCCCGCGCCTGGTGGCCTTGTCCTTGAGGTGAGCCCCGTGCCCGTCTGGGCCACTGTCGGGACCACCTTTGGGAGTGTCATCCGTACAAACCACAGCATGCCCGGTTCCTCCCAGAACCAGCCCCAGCCTGGGAGGATCAAGTCCTGGAGCCCGGGCCGTTATCCCTCTGGGGACTCTGCCACAGCAGGGGAGGCTGGAGGGTTAACAGGGACCACAGACCCCTCACCACTCACAGATTCCTCACACTGGGGAAATAAAGCCATTTGAGAGGAATTGTGTCCAGAGGCTTGATTCTTGGGGGAACTGGTGGGTGTCTAGATCCTTCCAGGGTGGGAGCTGGAGCTGGGGTGTTGGGTTTGGGGTTCTTGGTGGATTTGCTGCTGTAATTCAGATATTTCGGAGTCCGTTTCCTCCCCCCAGCCCCATTGTTCTTGCCTGAGACCCAGCACCTTCTGTCTGCAGTGTTCTGACAGCTCTCACTCCAGTAGGACAAGACCCCATCTGTACCCCTCCTACCCAGTTTCAACTTTCCAGTGGAAAAATAACTCAGTGATAATAAGCAAAGTATTTCCTGGAGTGGGGGTGGGTGGGTGTTGTGTACATCTGCTTTGGCAATAGGGAAACGGATGATGCAAATTTGAGTAGATAAATGCATACGTGTCTTTAAAAAGTCTAATTAGTGGGAAATTGCAGGCCAGGCGCACACAGGGTTGAGGCAAATATGCATGATTATACATGCAGTTTAACTAAATAACGCGTAACAAGCTAAACTGGTAATGACAAGGTTGAACTGACAGCAATTATTAGTTAAATAGCACGAAAGCCACCAACAACCAACACGTCCAAAAATCAAAACCAAAACATCCTTCCTCCAAATTGGAGGAGATCCAAGTATCTGTCACTGTGGGTGCAGAGTAGCGTTGAAACATAGCCAAGTGTTATGTGGCAACCGCGACTTCTCTGGAAGATGCTGAGTTAGTTTTCACCAACCCAAGTAGTAATAATCACTATAATGTAACTTCCTTCCTTCCTTCCTTCCCTCCTTCCTTCCTTCCTTCCTCCCTTCCTCCCTCCCTTCCTCCCTCCCTCCCTCTCTTCCTTCCCTCCCTTCCTTCTTCCTCCCTCCCTCCCTCTCTTCCTTCCTTCCTCCCTTCTTCCCTCCCTTCCTTTTTCCTTCCTTCCTTCCTCCCTCCCTCCCTCTCTTCCTTCCTTCCTCACTTCTTCCCTCCCTTGCAGTGGCACGATCTCCCTTCCTTCTTCCTTCCTTCCTTCCTTTTCTTCTTCTTTTTTTTTTACTTTGAGACAAAGTCTCGCTCTGTCACCCAGGCTGGAGTGCAGTGGCACAATCTCAGCTCACTGCAAGCTCCACCTCCTGGGTTCAAGCAATTCTATCTCAGCCCCTGGAGTATCTGGGATTACAGGTGCCCGCCACCACACCCGGATAATTTTTGTACTTTTGGTACAGATGGGGTTTCACCATGTTGGCCAGGCTGGTCTCAAACTTCTCACCTCAGGTGATCTGCCTGCCTTGGCCTCCCAAAGTGTTGGAATTACAGGCGTGAGCCACCGCACCTGGCCACTTTTTCTTCTTTTCTTTCAACAAGATCTCACTCTGTCACCCAGGCAGAAATGCAGTGACTCAATCACAGCTCACTGCAACCTCACCTGGTGGGCTCAAGCAATTCTCCCACTCAGTCTCCTAAGTAGCTGGGACTACAGGCTCGCACCACCATGCCCGGCTAATTTTTTGGATTTTTGATAGAGATGAGGTCTCACCATATTTCCCTGGTTGGTCTCAAACTCCTGGGGTCAAGCAATCCACTCACCTCGGCCTCTCAAAGTGCTGGGATTACAGGTGTGAGCCTTCATGCCCGGCCTCCAGTACTTTCTATATATATCTGTCCAGCATTGTTTTAAGTGCTTCATGTGCACTAAATCAGTGAATCCGATGATAACCATATAAGGTAGGTACTATAATTTTCTCCATTTTGCAGATGAGAAAAGTGAGACACAGAAAAGTGGCTCTAATAAAGTCACACAGAAAGTGGCTGAGTTGGATGCTGGGCGTGGTGGCTCATGCCTGTAAAACAGCACTTTGGGAGGTCAAGCAGGTGGATCACTTGAGGCCAGGAGTTCGAGACCAGCCTGGCCAATATAGCAAAACCCTGTCACTACTAAAAATACAAAAATTAGCTGGGTGTGGTAGTGGACACCTGTAGTCCCAGCTACTCAGGAGGCTGAGGCAGGAGAACTGCTTGAACCCAGGAGGCGGAGGTTGCAGTGAACCGAAATTGCACCACTGCACTCCAGCCTGGGTGACAGAGCAAGACTCTGTTTCAAAAATAATAATAAAAAAATAAAAATTGAAAGTGGCTGAGTTGGAACAGAAATGTGGGCAATCCAGAGAGCATCTGTAATGCACGATTTTATATTTGGAAATGTCAGCTGCTGCAAAGCCACAGGAACACACTCCGTCCATGTGCGAGTTTGAGCTTTTGTCTCTCAGCTGCAAATCCACCCTTGTCTCAGCTCTGTGATGCTGGGGCGTGGCCTCTGCAAGCCTTGTTTTTGCTTTCCCAGTCGGTTGCTATAAGCCCCGGCCTAAAGAGGGCGCTAGACGGAGACCAGCGATTGGAGGAGGAAGCAGGGATTTGCTTCATCTATTTGCTCCAGGCTTTCAAGCAAGCATCGTCCCAGAACAACGCTCCCTCTGACAGCAGCAGTTGCTTCCAGGTTTTTTGTTTTTTGTTTTTGACGGAGTCTTGCTCTGTCGCCCAGGCTGGAGTGCAGTGGCACGATCTCAGCTCACTGCAACCTCCGCCTCCTGGGTTTAAGCAATTCTCCTGCTTCAGCCTTCTAAGTAGCTGGGGTTACAGGCATCTGCCACCACGCCCAGCTAATTTTTGTATTTTTAGTAGAGACGGGATTTCACCATGTTGGTCAGGCTGGCCTTGACCTCCACTTCAGGTGATCCACCTGCCTCAGCCTCTGAAAGTGCTGGGATTACAGGTGTGAGTCACCGCGCCCGGCCCTCTTCCAGGTTTTAAGTTTTATTTTTTGGCATCTCCATAACCTGTTTCTTTTTCTATTTCTTTTTCTATTTCTGTTGCCCAGGATGGAGTGCAGTGGTCGAGGCTCACTGTAGCCTCGACCTCCCAGACTCAAGCCATCCTCCCGCCTCAGCCTCCAGAATAGCTGGGACCACAGGTACACGCCACCACACCCAGCTAAATTTTTTGTTTTCAAATTGTTTTGTAGAGATGGGGGTCTCGCCATGTTGCCGAGGTTGATCTCAAACTCGTGGGATCAAGGGGTCCTCTCACCTCAGCCTCCCAAAGTGCTGTGATTACAGGCATGAGCCACTGCGCCCGATGCCATAACCAACGTCATTGTCAGCCTTCTGTCACACCAGCGCCACCCCGGTAGGCCCTGGCTCTAGTCTGGGTTTCGGTTCTGCAGGGCTGCTGCCTCAACATTTTAGATCCTGATAATTCTAGCTCAGTCCTGGAGTGATAGGTGTAGCCTGCAGTTACTATTTTTATATGGTGCAGTTACTATTTCTGCGCTGTTTCTTCTCATTCCTTTCAAGGTTTCCTGAGACCTGTTTAATTTATCTAAGACCCGTGTATTAATTCATCTCTGTTGAAATATCTATATAACAGGAAGACTCCAGGTCGTGTGTGTAGAAATCCGATATGAGTCATCAAGATGGAGAATTTGCACGAATTCCACATGTAAACCGATTTGGAGACCAAAAGTTCCTTAATTGAAGAGGAGGCTGGTACTCTTGAGGAATTACCCTAAAATAACTGCTGCAAGCTTATATTTTGCATTTTCCATTCAAATGGGACTTGTCTCCATTTATGCAGTAACTGTGTATTGGGGAAAGGAAAATACTCAGACCTTTTAGGGATTAGCAGACACTGGCCCGGCCTATTTATTCATTTTTGAGATGCAGTCTCTCTCTCTCGCCCAAGCTCGAGTGCAGTGGTGTGTAGCCTGGCTCAAGTGATCCTCCTGCCTCGGCCTCCCAAGTAGCTGGAATCACAGGTGCACGCCACCATGCCCATATAATTAAAAAAAAAATTTTGGGTTAGTGCGGTGGCTCATGCCTGTAATCACAGCACTTTGGGAGGTCGAGGCAGGTAGATCACCTGAGGTCAGGAGTTCGAGACCACACTGGCCAACATGGCGAAACCCTGTCTCTACTAAAAATACAAAAATTAACTGGGCATGGTGGTGTGTGCCTGTAGTCCTAGCTACTAGGGGGGCTGGGGAAGGAGGATCGCTTGAACCTGGGAGGTGGAGGTTGCAGTGAGCAGAGATCACACTTCACTGCAGCCTGGGCAACAGAGCGAGACTCTGTCTCAAAACAAACCAAACAATTGGTCTTTAATTTTTTTTTTTTTTTTTGAGACAGAGTCTTGCTCTGTCACCCAGGCTGGAGTGCACTGGCGCAATTTCAGCTTAATGCAACCTCCACCTCCTGGGTTCAAGCAATTCTCCTGCCTCAGCCTCCTGAGTAGCTGGAATGACAGGCGTGCACCACCACGTCTGACTAATTTTGGTATTTTTCGTAGAGACGTGGTTTCACCATGTTGGCCAGGCTAATAAAGTTTAAAAACACAAATAAAATAAAAAAGGAAAAATATACCATATTTGAGGTATTTTCCAACCCATTTAGTGAGTAACCTACAAAAATGCCAACTTGGAGTGTGGTCCAAGTCCTTGAGAAGGCTCCGCATCCGGCCCATGCTGAGCTTAAGCTCAGTCTTATGACTCAGCAGATCACATGATACTCAGAAAAGAATGTGGCAAATCGAGATGCTGTATGATCTCCAGAAAGTGCCAATAGGAGCATTTTCTGGCATAAACTCGTAGGGTTTTGGCCCAAAGCCATGCCATCTTCTGCACACAACCCATCTCTGTGAAGAAACAGTTCCTTCTCTCGGTTAGAGATAGATACCTGGCCGTGGTGCACAGAGCAATGATGAAACCTGACCTGACCATCAGGAACTCAGTGTAATCTGACCCACAAATCCAGAAGATTGAGCGTAGACAATGGCAGTGCATCAGGTGGAAATAAGAAATACAGTGTTGGCTGGGCGTGATGGCTCACACCTGTAATTCCAGCACTTTGGGAGGCCGAGGCATGCGGATCACCTGAGGTCAGGAGTTCGAGACCAGCCTGACCAAAATGGAGAAACCCCATCTCTACTAAAAATACAAAATTAGCCAGGCATGGTGGCACATTCCTGTAATCCCAGCTACTCGGAAG